CTGTGAAACCTGAGCAATTGTGAGAGGCAGTCCCAAAGCATTGACTATAATATGGAGTGAAGCTGAATGTCAGTGATTGTACCTGACAGCATCCAAGTTTCCTCTTTTCTTCCCATCACACTCTGATGCTGGAGCAATTTTGATTTTTTTTATTGTTGCATTATAATTGGACATAATAGTGGACTGTTGTTACATATTCATCTGTGTACATAACATACTTTTGTTAGTTTTATTCTCCATTTCTCCCCTTTCCTTTCCCTCCTCCCTTCACCTGGCTTCCTTCCTCTCCTCCAGTGGTCTCCCTTCTGTTTTCAGTCATATTGTTTTTAAGCTATCAAAATCAAAAAACAGGATTTGTGCTTCTCAGTCAGAACAGAAATGGGTAGCAACCTAAGGAAATAGATTTAGGCCCTAAAAGCTGGCCAAGTGGGACCTAGGAATAAAGTCCTGGTTTTGTGTTATACCGTTCTTTCAACAGAAATGTATTTTAAAAATTGGAAAATGACCTTATAATTGTTGTGGATCAAAGATAACATTTAGAAATATTAGTGGTGCTTTCTCTAGAAATTGTTTTACTCAATAACTAGACCTAATGCAAAAATAATATCATGAAGGAATCTACCCTCTTTATCAATATCCTATCCCCATTGAAATCCTGGGAGAGACGGAGGGGAGTCAGTTTGCCTACAGACAGTATAAGCCAGAGTAGTTTATAATGTGCTCTTTTTTTAAATTTAAACTCATGAAACTTAAGTAAAAACTCCTCGGTATACTTGGAATAGTAGTCTGTTATCGTCCATCAGTTCTTTCTTGAATATCTACTGAGTGGTTTCATTATGCTGAACACACTTTGATTTTGCTTGCCAGCTTGGTGAAGCTTTTCTCTCTTTACTCCTTCCAGCAGTAGTGTGCATTTGAAAAATCCTTATATTCATGGAAATGAGAAATCAGAAAATGAGATCAGCATGCTTGCTGGTCCCATTCCTCTCTTATCTACATCCATTCATCCTTTGGAACCTAGACACTGAAGTGGTGCTCAAATGTTCAGCCTTTAAATTCAATGAAAGCCAGGTTCACTGGCACACACCTGTAATCCCAATAGTTTGGGAGGTTGAGGAAGGAGAATCTCAATTTCCAGGCCAGCCTGGGAAATTTAGGGAGACCCTGTCTCAAAACAAAAAATAAAAAGGACTAGAGATGAAGCTCAGCGGTAAAGCACCCTCAGCTTAATACCCAGTACAAGAAAAGAAAAGAGAAGAGAAGAATCCAACAAAGACTGAGAATAATGAGTAAACAATCAGTGGTTTCTATCTTATTCTGTATTAAAGTAATAGTAGCTTCCTCATGTCTTACTGTAGCTTAATAGTAGGATGTTCTGTGAATAGTGGTTTTTTTAAAAAATAATTTCATATTAACACCAAAATATTACCTTATTTTTGTTTGTTTTGTTTTGTTTTTATCTTTTTGTGGATCAAACTCAGGGATGTCTTACCTCTGAGCTACATTTCCAAGTCCTCCATTTATGTATTTATTTGTTTGTTTGTTTACTTATTTCTAACTTATTATGTATGGCAGCAGGATGCATTTCAATTCATATTACACACATAGAGCACAATTTTTCATGTCTCTGGTTGTACACAAAGTAGAGTCACACCATTTGTGTCTTCATACATGTACTTAGGGTAATAATGTCCATCTCATTCCACCATCTTTCCTACCCCCATACCCCCTTCCTTCTGCTCCATCCCCTTTGCCCTATCTAAAGTTCCTCCATTCCTCCCATACTCCCTGCCCCATTCCATTATGGATCAGCATCCTCATATCAGAGAAAACATTAGGTATTTATTTTGGGGGGGATTGGCTTACTTCATTAGCATAGTATTCTAGCCCTTCTTATTTTTTTTATTTTGAGATGGGGTCTTGATAAATTGCTGTGGTTGACTTCAAACATGCTCCTGCCTCACACTCCCAAGTTGCTGAAATTATGGGTGTGTGTAACTATGCCCAGCTTTTTTCTTGTTTATTGCATCCCCACTTAATAATATAAGCTGCTTGGGGAATGGGATGTTGCCTGATTTCAATACTGTATGGTACTTAGCATAGTGTCTGGTATGTTACAGGTGGGCAGTCAATATTTGTTGAATAACTAAAGGGATTTTTATCTTGATGTTTAGACCTTTAATCCATATTGGCAATGCATTGCTTCATCTTTAATGTGCAGATTTCCACAGATACATGTATAGATCAATTATGCACAAGTACTAATGTAAATGTGCACATATATTTGTCTACATGTGAGCAGGTAGGTTAAGTTTTGTGATTCTTGTAGTTTCTAGAGATTTGCATGTGATATTTGGCCATATATTAAAATTATAAGTATAGTGTTTATCTAGGAAAGTTCTGTTTTTGTGTTGTAGAAGAAACAGTACTGTATTCAGAGGTGCAATTGGTGTAGGCTTTTAATTCATTAAGTAGACTCCTCCTTTCTCACCAGGGTGTAGAAAAACTTAGGAAGAAAAAGAACTTTATTTAAGACTCCTTCCTCTTCTACATCCCAAAGGTCACATTGCTAATAATGCCTTTGGAAAGAAAGGGAGATGACAACCAATATATTAAGTGGTTACTTTCTGCTGACTGTTTGCATAATCACATACACTTGTGCAAACACATACATAAACCTGAGAGGAATCCTTCAGAATGAGGCTTTTATTGATGACTGTGAAGGGTGTTCATTATTGGAATGTATTTTAACACGTGAATATATAAATTTTAAATCTATAGTATTAGCAAATGTTCATTGTAGAGTATTATGAAAGTAAGTAGCAGTTACCCATAATGTCACCATATAAATAACTACCATTGTTAATATTTTTCAGGTCTTTTTTTTTAATGGGTTCTCACTAAATTGATGAGGCTGGCCTTGAACTCAGTATCCTCCCTGCCTCAGTGTCCTGAGAAACTGAAATTACAGGTGTACACTGTCAAGCCCAGCTTTTCTTTTAGTTACGTTTTATGTGTTTTTTAAATTAAGTAGCAACATTTATCATAAACATCTTCCCAAGTAATTTAAAATTCTATGTAAATATTAAGCACATACTATTATATTCATCATGCAGATACACCTCACTACTTAACCACTCATAACACTGGGATTAAAGGTGTTTTCAGTTTTTTGATAACCAAATAACATTTTTGAGTTTACCATCTTTGTGCATAAATTTTTGTTTACCTTTATTAATATTACCTGAAGTTAAATTCCTTTAGAAGTACAATTACTGAGTCAGAGAATGTCCATTTTTATAAGGTGCTTAAACACTTGGAGGATCACATTGCAGAGAAATGATATCAATTATATTTTCACCACCTGAGTGTATGAAAGTAACTTTCTCTCCATGTGAAAAAAGAGGAAAAGTATTTACTGACAAACAACAGTAAAAAATTTACATATAAGTTTCCTTTTCTTTTTCAAACAGTATATTAAACATTGTTTCAGTATGCTTTCTGTTCCAGTGTTTCAACTTCTAGTATGGCCTAGAATGTTTTCTTGTCTGAAAGTAAGTGGCTTTTAGTAGTTACTTTCAGTAGTTAATATTTTTTATAGCAGTTTCTACCTTTTGCAAGAGCCTCTATTGAAAGTTGTAAATTGGATGGAAAAATAGTCAGACAAGTCCCTTGCCTTCCTAAAGAAAAGCTAGTTTATTCTAACCTTTACTTAGTTGTGGTTAATAACTCTAGAAAGTTTCAACCTTCTCAGAGTCAGTAGGTCAGTTTATGTATTCTTCAAGTAAATCCAAATGCTTCCTTCATTTGAAAGTTAAACCAGTAGTCTCCTAACTTATGCAGTGAGTTTAAAAAAAAAAAAAAAAAGGGAAGTAGTAACTAAAGCATTTAGCTTTCTGAAACAATTCAGATGGGGATAGGAAGTTGGTTTTAAATGGCTTAAAGAGGATTACGGTTTTAAAGTTGGATAAGGAGTTTGGTGCTTTGGGTTAGGCATGGCATTGCTTTTAAAAGATTACTTCCATATTTGACAATGATTCTAACTGGAGTTTATAAAGCAAACAGTCAATTTTAAGACACTATGGAAGACAAGAGAGTTTCTTTTTTTGTTGTTGTTTGTTTATACAAAATGATTGCCTAAAGTTAACAGGCCAAATCCTGAAGTCCTCCTTTCATAATAATACTGGGGATCTGTCACCAGGGAGAATCCAGCAGAGGTTCTTTAATGCACTTAATTGAGATTATCTGAGCCTTTGGTTTAAATTACTTTAGAAAAGTCTGCATGCAAACAACTCCTTTGAAAGGTAAACATATCTTTAAGGAAAAGGGTTCTTTAAATTTCTTTGTATAGTTAGTAGCATCAACCCCTATTAATTAAATATGAGTACTGACTGAACAATGAATAAACATAAATTCTCTAAACATTAGCATGTGTTAATATAATTCACAGAACAATGAAAGTTTTTATTTATGATCATTTGAAAATTCAGTATTTATTAGAAAAGCAACTACTGACAGTTTTAGTAATTCCAAAGTAAAAAAGATAATGTCCTGGGGCTGGGGTTGTGGCTCAATGGTGGAGTGCTCGCTTAGCATGCATGAGGCACTGGGTTCGATCCTCAGAACCACATAAATGTAAAATAAAGATATTGTGTCCACCTAAAACTAAAAAAATAAATATTAAGGGCTGGAGTTGTGGCTCAGTGATATAGTGCTCGCCTAGTAAGGGCAAGGCCCTGGGTTCAATCCCCAGCACCACATAAAATTAAATAAATAAATATATTGTGTCCAACTACAACTAAAAAATATTTTTAAAATAAATAAATAAATAAACATTAAACAAGATAAAATACAGTTAATGAAGTTTTAGATATGAATTTCTTTATTCCATTCCATCTAAGAAGCAAATCATGTTAAAATGGACCAAGAATAGCATATACTTAATTTGTGTATGGGTCAATAATTAAAAGTCAATATAACATTTCTCCCATTTTTCTTAGCTCCTTGACCTGTTTATGGTTTGGGATTGGTCTACTTACCTAGCTGATTATGGACAGCCGGCTTCAAAGTACCTTCGGGTGAATCCAAACACAGCCCTTACTCTTTTGGAGAAGTGAGTATATTCTGAAAACATTTTGTATAGCCTTTAACAGATTTTGAGTCAATGACAAAATGAAGAACTAGAAATTTTTACGAAAAGAGATATATCTAGATGGAGCTTTTAAAAGCTCACACTATTTTAATGACTAAAAAATAAGCTTTTTTCTTACCCTTCAGAATTGTAATTACATATGCAATTGCTTTTTGTATGAATGTGAACAAAACACTTTTTCTTTTGTGTCCTGAATTGCAGGCTTAATAGGCCTTAGAAATGTTTATTGGGGACTGGGTTTGTGTGGCTAATGGTAGAGCCTTTACTAGCATGCTCCAGGCCCTGGTTTCAGGCCCAGCACCACCACCACCAAAAAAAAAAAAAAACAAAAAACAAAAAAAACCTGCAGATATAAATAACAACTGAATTTATTAAAACCCAATTAGGTGCAGCGGTGTCACCTATAGTACTAGCTGTTTGGCTGAGGCAGGAGAATTGCATAAGCCTATGAGTTCGAGACCATCCTAGGCAATATAGCAAGGCTATGTTAAAAAAAAAAAAAAGAGAGAACAATAACAACAAAAAACTGTATGGTTCAGGAAAGAATGTACTTGTAAAACATGCCCAGGAATTGGAATGTTCGCCACTAGGCTATCTACATCATGGTTTCTTTGAAGATAGAGAAATATGTAATTTGAAAAAAATAATATTGCTGGGTATGGTGGCATATGCTTGTAATCCCAGCCACTAGGAAGGCTGAGGCAGAAGGATCTTAAGTTCAGTGTCAGCCTGGGAAATTTAGCAAGATACTTACTCAAAAAATAAAAAGTTAGGGATAACTTGGTGACAGAGTGCCCCTGGATTCAATCCCTATTACTGCCCCTTGCCATACACACAAAAAGTGAGAGAGAAAAAAAATAATACTGTCAGAACTGAGGTAACAATTTACTGGCACATCTTTGTCCAGCTAAACACAAATTAAGGTGTTTTTTTCTTCTCATTATGTGGCAGTCTGTCTTGACTTAATCATATTTCACTTTACACATCACTACTAAAATCTTCAATTTTTAATTAAAAGTATATATTATTTCCCCACATTTCACAATATGTGTGATATATTTGACTTAAGGAACTTTTAAAATAAATGTAGAGGGGCTGGAGCTGGAGCTCAGTGGTAGAACGCTTGCCTAAAGGCATGTGTGAGGCACTAGGTTCAATCCTTAGCACTGCACAAAAATAAACAAATAAAATGAAGTCATGGTGTCCATCTACAACTACAAAAAAAAATTTAAATAAAATAAATATAGATTTATAATGTCATGAAACACCACTGAGGCAAAAACATTGCTGTTTTAAATTTTCTAATGCATTTTTTCCTTTTACCTTGTCTTGCTGTGAATGTAGTTTGCAGAATCCACATAGAGTATTTTAGCATACTTTATGGAATAATATTAGAAAATGGTATGATATTTAAACTTAGCATATTTTAGATTTACATTCTAATGCAAAAATACCACTTCATATAAAATGTAAAATAAAACCATTTATGTGTGTGTGTGTGTGTTTTCTCTATCTGTAACTACATTAGTACCTTTTTTCTTTGAAGAATATTTTGTAAGCATAGAATTAGTGTGAGGTAATTTGGAGCTTGCCAATATATTTTACTTGTGATAGCATAGCTTTTAATTTCCTCCTAATAACCTTATTCATTCACATTTGTTTCTAGGATGAAGGATACTAGCAAAAAGAACAATATATTTGCCCAATTCAGGAAGAATGATCGTGACAAACAGAAGTTGATAGAGACAGTCGTGAAACAGCTAAGAAATTTGGTGAATGGTATGTCCCAGCACACATAGATTTCACATTGTTTATACTCAGTGACACTAATCTGTGACTGAGCATTGATCTCTAACAAGCACAGGTCGTGATGTAATAATTTGTTTACAAAATTCAAAAATACAATAGAGAAAATACACTGATGAGGGCTTAAATAAGAAATAGTAATAACATTTGTATGGATTTTTAAAAATTGAATACTATTTTATATATGAAAAATGTGAAACTAATTTTTTCAATTTTAAGGGGAAAAGGTAAAACTATAATATATAAATTGTCAAAAATTGTATATAAAACTGATTGCAAATACATTAGAAAAGCATATGCCTCTACTTAAAAGTATTTTTTCTCCCCTTATTTAAACTTGCGACCTGTTTTTTTCTTCAGTTTATGGTTTTGGAATGCAATCATGTCTAATGTGGGAATATTTCACTGTCATTTTATGACAGTCTTATTTTCATCTTGATGTGCTTTAAGTAGACTAAGCTTTTAATTCTGCTGATTCTGAGGGGAAAATACACATATCTTTAAAGCGTCCTGAAATCAAACTTAATAAAGAGTGTAAATTATGTTCTACTTGGGTGCTTTAATTGAATCCTTTTGAATATGAAGAAAAGATTTTGGATTTTCTAAAGATTTAGTGTTGTTTTTGTTCATCAGAGTTAATATTTCTATTTGCTTGTAGTTGATATCATTCTAGATTTGGTTTGGTTTGGTTTAAATTAAAAGATAGAACAGTTAACTGGGGCTAACCACTTCAGGTGCAGCTTGAACTAGGGTAGATATGTTCTTCCTACACATAGAAATGACCACAGGGGTCAGATTACTTTCTTTAAATAGCAGATCTCAGTACTGTATCCTCACTGTGGAAGCAGACCAAATCAACTAAACTCTAAAAAACATAAAACAACTGTACATTTTCCTTTGTATAAAGTCACTGATATCCAAATAGTAATGTAAATCCAATCCTTATTTTTCTCTTGGTTGTATTTATGCTGAATACTCTCTTTGCATTTTTGGTATTTATACCTGTTAGAAACTATCCCTGACTGTAAAATAAGTGTCAAGAACTATATTTACATCTTGATTTTGTGGTGAAGTATTAAAAAGGTTGAACAAATCATTGAAAATGCATTGTGATTTTGTCTATTTGGTGTTTCCAGATTTAAAATTGCTTCCTTGAGAAAGCAAAACTATAAACCAAGTCAAAATTGTAAGAAACTGTAAAATAAGTGTTGGTGCTGGCGTTTTGGTTCAGTGGTAGAGCACTGCCTACCATGTGTGAGGTACTAGGTTGGTTTTTCAGCACCACATATAAATAAACTAATAAAATTAAGGTCCATCAACAACTAAAAGCTAAAAATAAAAAAGTAAGTGTCAAGAACTATTTACATCTCTGGATTTTGTGATGAAATATTGAAAGTTTGAGCATGTCTTTTAAAAAGACTTGCAAAAAGGAATATTATTTATTAATTATTGGAATGGAAGTGGCACCAAAACAAAAACATTTGTTCTCTTGACCATCTCTTACTGTAAAGTATTTAACATTTAAAAAATATCATACAAAAAAACATGGTAATTCTTCAGGAACAATAAAATCTAGACATTTGGAGAACAGCTAGCATACTCTGAAGACTATGGAATGTGGCTACCCCTGGCTTCCTTACCCTGCCCTCCAGGGTACTTTGGATGCCTCCCATTTTGTCTCCTGTCTGCGGAGGCGTCTAGAGTTCCGGAGAGAGGAAGGATGCTGTCTTTTTGCCGCCTGGAGCCGACCGGTGTGGCTACCCTTTACTCTTCCCAATAAAGAAAGCACCGACCCCATGCTCCTCCCCACCCCCAACCCCGCCACGCCACAACAGGTTGCGATGTAGGGACAAGGACGCTCTGGTCCGTTTGGAACCCTCGGATGGGACACAAAACCCCAGACACAACTACAGGGGATCGTAGGTCGGACTTGGGGGGGGGGGGGAAGGAGAGAATTCGGTCCTTCAGACCCAAAAAGCAGGATTTGTTTCTCCAGACTACGGGGCGTCGCTGAATTTTTGGCAGCAATGAAACTACCATCTCTTCAAAGATCCTGAATGGTGGATCAGAGAACCCGGATAGGGTTCGGAGTCAGAGAATCTGGGCCCTTCTGGGTTCTGGGGATGCCAAGGGCCGGCATCGATGCCCAAGTTTCCCTGAAAGAGACGGAGCAAAGGGGAGCACTCCCAGTCCATTAACTGTGGAGTGGTAGTAAAGGGGACATCTAGTGCTGGAGAGTGGGGATCCTAGAGACAGACGCGGTGGGGGTGGGCCTAGAGCGCTGCGGGGCGCAAGCCTGTAAGCCGAGCGCAGGCTTTGCCTTCTTCCCAGGCTCTTGGGAAGAGTCGGAAAGTTCTGGCGCGAAACCGCAAGCCCCGCCCGAGGGTGCGCTGGCGCGGCCCCCTGCCTAGCTGCCACTCCCTTCTAGGATCCCTTCCTTGATTGCACCCCTGCCCAACGCCTCCAATCATTACTCTGCATGGGGCGCTTTAAATATGCAAAGGCACGTCGCGTTGTACAAAGCGGGATCTGGGATCAGTCTGTAGGGAGGGAGCCATTATCTATATAAACGTGTTGAGGATAATCTGAGAAGGGTTAAACTAGTAGAGAGGAGTTGGGGCCGGGGTCTGCAGCCCTGGTTGACAATCCGGGTGAGTTGCTTTGCCCTCCCTCGCTGCTTCCATTCCGGGGAGGAGGTGGGAGTGTCCTGCGGGGGCCTGGAGTGAGCATTCCCAAGACAGCCTGCACCCCCAAAAGGGACTGGTGTTTTGAACTGGAAGCTGGGAAAATATCTCAAGTGCGCCAGCCAAAGGAGGAGTACTTGTTCCTCAAGGGCGCACGGTCACTGCGGCTTTTCACTGCCAATTTGTTTTTAGAGCGGGACTCTGAGGTTTACTAATCTCGGTCTTGGCCCCCAAACTGGCCCTTTCGGGACAGAACAGGTGAGTTCTGCGCTCCGCTCGCGTCCCAATTCTTGTGCTCCTGTTCACGCAGCGGCCTAGTCCCCGCAGCCTCGTCATGTTTCCCTGGGGGCTGAGCTGCCTGTCGGTGCTTGGGGCGGCCGGCACCGCTCTCCTGTGCGCCGGCCTGCTGCTATGCCTGGCCCAGTACCTCTGGACCCTCCGCTGGAAGTTGAGCCGGGACCGGACCTCTGCCCTGCCTCTGCCCAAGGGTTCCATGGGCTGGCCCTTCTTCGGCGAAACGCTGCATTGGTTGGTTCAGGTGAGCAATTTACCGTTCCCTGCAACCTCATATGGCCCCCTTTCCGCAGCTCCCACTGGACTCTCCTCATTGTCAATGCTCTCAGGGTTCTTAGTACCTTCCCTTCGCCCAGGACCCCGGGGAGAGCTTACAACCCTCTCTTATGCTAGCTTCTCTGCTTCCTAGAAAGACCGTAACTTACTTACCAGAGTTCTCCCCAGAGCAGCTTAAACAATACTGGGCTTAGGAGGGGTTTGAGGAGCGAGTAAAGATTCAAGTATAGAGTTAGGAGTCAGGGGGCGTATCTCAGTCATGAGACCTTGGGCGCTCACGTCCCCATTCTGAGCCTCTATTTCTTTACCTTACCAGTGGAAACAAGAGCATCTGTATTCCCATCGGGTATTTCCGGGGGCTGTTTGGAGCCCTGTTTTGTTAAATACAACGGGCCGGGATGGGGCAAGGTGTTATCAGTTGGGAGGCCTAGGCCAGAGGCCTCAACCTGGCCCAGAGGCCCTAGCCCTCCAAGCTCCCCTCGCTCACAGGGCTCGAGTTTCCACAGTTCCCGCCGGGAGCGCTACGGCACAGTGTTCAAGACCCACCTGCTGGGCAGGCCAGTGATCCGCGTGAGCGGTGCGGAGAACGTGCGCACCATCCTGCTGGGTGAGCACCGCCTGGTGCGCAGCCAGTGGCCGAAGAGCGCGCACATCCTTCTAGGCTCCCACACACTTCTCAGTGCGTTTGGTGAGCCTCACCGGCGGCGGCGCAAGGTGAGTGGAAACTAGGGGCAACGTCAGAACTGCGATCCTCAGGCACCTGCTGTGGGCCAGGTAGGAGCCAGGTATAAGGGTACACCGAGAACCTGACCGAGATCCCTGCTTAAGAGCAGGTGGCCTTGGGCCAGTCTCTTACATTCTCCAGTTTTGAATTATAAAGTGACTGTTATACAGAAATGCTGGAGATCAAACCTAGAGGACTTCAAGGAAGACTTCAAGGATGGCTTCTAGAAAAGCGTGGATATATGGGAGGGACTGTATGTAACAGCAGAACTAGAGGGAATGATGAGAGCAAAACCCAGCAAGTTTAGGTTTGGGGTGCTTAGAAGAGGAGGAAGGGATCAGACTTGGTCTTCTGGCTACTAGAGAATTGCGCAGCGGAGTAGGTCCCCTCTCCCGCCAGCGCTGATCTGGCGCGCTCGCCACAGGTGCTGGCACGTGTGTTCAGCCGCACCGCACTGGAGCACTACGTGCCGCGCCTGCAGGAGGCGCTGCGGCGTGAGGTGCGCTCCTGGTGTTCTGCCCGCGGACCCGTAGCTGTCTACCAGGCTGCCAAGGCGCTCACCTTCCGCTTGGCTGCGCGCATCCTGCTGGGTCTGCGGCTGGACGAGGTGCGGTGTGCCGAGCTGGCCCGGACCTTTGAGCAGCTGGTGGAAAACTTCTTCTCACTGCCCCTGGACGTGCCTTTCAGCGGTCTGCGCAAGGTACTGGAGCCCCGGCCCCAGACCTTCTTCCTTTTGGGTTCCACAGCACGGGGGGGTATCCCTGAGACTTAGCGCACCACGACATTACATCTGCTGGGAGGCTGAGGTGCCGCCCAGAATGGGGAGGCGGCTTGCTGTGGTGGTGGGCTCCTGGTCTACTTCTGTTCTGACTGGATGTGGGATCGGGGCGGACCACACACCCTTTCAGAGTCTTGCCTGACGCGTTGGACTCCAACCAATGCAACCGCTGGCTTCCTCAGTTTGGGTCTTAGTGGCGGGTGTCCAGCCAATCAGTCCGTGCCCTCCGCAGAGCGGCGGCTTCTGCCTGGGCCTCCAGTGCCTCTTCGGAAGCCTGGATGGCTGCAGAACTGGTGGGAACCGGAGGGCAGCAGGCACACCCCAGCCCACCCCAGCACCTGCCCTGGTCGAAGGCGGATGGGTGCTAGCCCCCAATACCGCTGCCCTGGGCCGCTAATTTCCAGCTCAGAGTGACAGGCGGGGCTCCAAGAGCACCGAAAAAGCCCTATTTTAGCCTTCCCTTTCCCCTGCATGGAGCTTTTCAGTCTGCAGATTTCCTGGTTTTCAGTCACCTGAATAAAAATAACAGATTTGTATAAAGGGTCATGTGCGCTGTTCGCCTTGGATACATTTTCTCATTTAATCCTTGCAGACTGCTAAGCATTATTATTCTTATTTTATTGATGAAACGGGCTCATTGGGGTTAAATGCCTTAAGCAAGATCACACAGCTATTACCGGCACAGGCAGGATTTGAATCTATACTTCTGGTTAAGAAGTGCTCAATTTCAAGGCTTCCCCAGGGGGATTTTCATTTTATTTAGATGGTCCTGGGGATTGAATTCAGGGCCTCACAGATGCTAGGAAAGCTCAGTATTGCTGAGCTACATCGCCAGCCCCAGGGAGTTATGTTTTAGTTGTGCTTGCTCCCTGAAACTCTGAAGGGGCATCCCAGCCCTCTTCCCCAGCCCCTTACAGAGGCTAATGCTTAGAACATATGATAGTGTCCCCTAAGAGCTTTCCTGGGTGCCCCTTCTTCTCAGCAGTGATGCCCATTGCCCCAGCCTGAGCCTAGTGAAGGAAAGGGCACTTGAATGATTGTACCCTGACTGTGCTGTGTTACTCTGGATCATCACTTGACCCCTCTGAGCCTCATTGTACTGCCTTGAGGATGACAGTCTTGCTCAGAGGGACTTATGATAATCAAGATATAATTATTGGGGGCTGGGGATGTGGCTCAAGCAGTAGCGCGCTGCCTGGCATGCGTGCGGCCCAGGTTCGATCCTCAGCACCACATACAAACAAAGATGTTGTGTCCGCCAAAAACTAAAAAATAAATATTAAAAAATTCTCTTTAAAAAAAAAGATATAATTATTGCAGACAATGGACAGATTTATGGTCATTTATTGAATTCTACTACGTGCCAAGCATGGAGGGAACTAAGCTGAGAGATCTAACACCAGGATCTAGGCAAAGTATGTGAAACCAGAGAAGTTTTAGAGGCAGGCAGCTAAATATGGTCCCTGAGTCTTCCTGCCACATCTGCCTTCTCTCCCTGTGCATCAGGGCATCCAGGCCAGAGACCAGTTGCACAAGTACCTGGAGGAGGCCATTGCTGAGAAGCTTCATGAAGATACAGAGGCAGAGCCAAGAGATGCCTTCAACCTGATCATTCACAGTGCTAGGGAGCTGGGTCATGAACTGTCAGTGCAGGAGCTGAAGGTAGGTGGCAGGAGGTTTTTCCTTCCTCTCTTTGTTCCCAGCAAGTGTCTACACACACTAGCACCATTTTGAGGCACAGGCACATATTAGGATGAAAGGAAAGAGGAAACTGGGTTCCTGCCATGAATCAGCCACACACACTAGCTGCATAGCCCTGCGCTGGTACCCACCTTCCAAGAGCACTGAAAGGATGAATCTTAAGCCTGTCCTCATAAGTTCTGGCCCCAAACAGCTCTGGACCTAACCCCTCCACTTGCCCCCCCCTCACCCCATGTCATTGTCTCTGCTGTCCCCTGCCTATGAAGTCCCCTTCACTCTTTTTCTATAAATTCTAAGGGGCTCAGGATCTCAGCATCATATAAAAAGAAATAAAATAAAGGTATTGTGTCCATTAAAAACTAAAAATAAAAATAAAAAAACCCCAAAAACCAAAACCTCCACATCCTCAAAACTCCCATCTTCCTCCCCAAAGCAACATTCTCATTTTATGAACCATCTTGGCACCTGGCACCTTTAACTGCCTGTTTTGCTTCTGCAGGGTCTCCTGAAGAATTAGGTCCACTCTCCACCTACATGTAGATGCAGTAGAGAAAAGGAGGGAGCTTGGAATGGCCCAGGATCTATTTGAGAACCCAGAAAGAAGTGCACTATGGGGGCTAGGAGAAAGTGAGAAATGGAAGGACCTCAATCTTCCATAAGCAATTTCCATCCTTTCTCTGACTTGTTTCCCACTTTCTACCAGCCAGCCACTGAATATGGGGCTCAGCTTTAGTTTCTTCTCTGACAATGGAACAAATAATCTCCATCCTGACTCCTGGATGGTTGAGGTCCAGAAGCATCAAAATGGTTACAAAAGAATGAGCAATCAGCTCATGGGTCCTGGGGGTGACCAATGGATAAGATCATTTCTGGGCAGTAAAGGGAAGTGGAATGGAATGAAGTAGATGATCCCTATGCCTTGACAGGACTGGAAAGGGGTGACAACACCCTCAGGAAGGTGCTCACTGGCCAGGAATCTTCAGTTCTGGCCTGGGCATCACAAAGGGAGACCAGACTGGCCAGGGAGGATGTTGGGGCAATGGGGTCCTCCATCCCAGATGTCCATCTTGTCCAAGATAGGACCAGCAGTTAGCCTTCAAACAGGTCAATATTCATTCCACAAATATTATGTACTTATTCACTGCCAAGCTCTGTGCTGAAATGGGAGGTGCAGTGGTGAGCAAAACAGCCTCCCATTTCCCAGGTATGGGAAGGGAGGGTTCCCGTTCACCTTATAAACACAAACACTGATGCTGCCTGGAAGGAAGACACTTGACAGAGAGAAGGTGGAGGAAAGCAGTGAGGCTTGAAATCTGAAGGCTATCCCTTCTTGAGCAGGGCAGACCAGGAAGAGATATAGTGACGGATAAGAAGATGAAGGACTGATGCAGGCTTTGGTGGGAGGCTGCTGAAGATACCTTTGTTTCACTGTAGTTGCTATCAGAAGGCCCAGTGGGAGTTGGAGGCAGCACCACCAAGAGGTCAAGAGCATTTAGAATCCCAAGCCTCACTGCTAAAACTCCTAGTTGTAGGGACCTTGAGCACGTCTCAGCCCTCAGTTTCCAATCCTGTAAAAGGATGGCAGTAATTGTGCCTCACAGAATTAGGGGGAGAATCCAATGGGTTAATAAAACACTAAGGGTAATGCACTGAGTAAGTTTCCAGCATTGCCTCTGGGAACTCTTTCAACAAGAAAGGTAGGTAGATACTTGTTTGCCTGGTGCTCTATGCGACTTTCCCAAGTGGCAGATTTGGAAGTTAATGGATTTCAGGACCTTCGCACAGCACACAGCCATCACGGTAGCACATCCCAGCTCGCCCGCCTTAGTGCAATAGTTTAAGGTTTTCTGCGCCTCCGCCGTGTGGCCAAGACTGTGAATCAGAGACAACGGGGCTGTCTTGCAGGAGTCCGTTGTGGAGCTCCTCTTCGCCGCCTTCTTCACTACGGCCAGTGCCAGCACTTCCCTCGTTCTGCTGCTACTGCAAAATCCGGCGGCCATCGCCAAGATCCAGCAGGAGTTGGCAGTCCAAGGGCTGGAACGCGCGTGCAGTTGCACGCCTGGGGCCTCCGGGCCAGGGCCAGACTGTGGTTGCGAGCCTGACCTCAGTCTCGCGGTGCTGGGCCGTCTGCGCTACGTAGACTGCGTAGTCAAGGAGGTGCTGCGCCTCCTGCCGCCGGTGTCCGGGGGCTACCGCACAGCGCTGCGCACCTTTGAGCTGGACGTAAGTGCGCCTTGCCCGCCAAGCTGCCAGCCTCCTGTCACCTGCTGCAGTGAGTGGGTGGAAAGAGGGTTGGGGATTAGGGCCGCAGGTCTCCTAGCCCAGGACTTTCCCATCTGTAAAACGGGGTGAGCCCTCCTCCACTTACCAGGGTCCTCGGCACAGGGATGCAAAGCCTGGCTCCTGGTAAACCGGGAAATGTTAGGAATTTCGTTTAAATATTTTGTCAGCGGTCTAGGTAGGTCTGCTCAATAATAATCAAGTTTTAGAATTAAATTTGCTTTCCTCTGCACACCACTGCACACCTCCCATTCAGCAAAGGTGAGTGGGCAGCAAAGACTGTAGTATGTATCTCACCTCTGGCTCCCTCGCAAGATCAAAGAATCCATCATTGTTACCTGACCAGGGCTCCAGCTAAGGTTGGATGCCAGTGAAGTGCAGCAATTCTACAGGGTAGAATTTCTTAATGGTCTGCTGACTGCCCTGGGATGGGCAAGGTTAAGGTCTAGACCTGACTCCTCTTTGAATGCAGTGGGCATTTCTCTCTTCACTCCAGGCCTCAGTTTGTTCCCTGGAAGGAAACTGTCTTGGTCCTCCAACTCTGATTCTCCAGGTGGGTTCAGGGTTGTGTAGCCAAGTGGCAGCATTGGGATTGGCCCATTCCGACTGCTAAATTGAGGACTGTTGGCCTAAAAAGCCGTCTCTAGAGCACCACGCTCAATAACTGAGCAACTCCAAACAAAGAGTGGGCATTGCCTTCCACAGTGAGCATCCATGACCCATTGCTACCAGGGTGCAGGGGGAGGGCATTGAGTATCATGGGGACAATGAGGGGACCAGCACTGATAGCTTCATCATAAATGGTGGAAAAAAAGAAGTGATTTCCAATGCTGGGTGCAATCAAAACATTTTGAGATCTGGCATTTGAACTGAAGTCATGAATGTGGTAGAATGAGAGTGCACCACAGAGAAGGAACAGCCCAGACAAAGGTGGGTGTTTAGAAGTGTCTTGGATGCTGAATCTTGGAAATCACAGTTTACTCTGCAGATGCTGGTATGCCTTGGAAGACCTTAGGGGAACAGGAAGAGGAGCAGAAGATCAGGGAGGGTCCCCACAGAGGGTGAGCAGAGATCAAGGAAGAGTCTTAACCATCCTCCAGTGTACAGATGGGGTGTACTAGAGAGGAGAGCCAGCAATTCCAAGATGAATCTTAGTGACTCCAAGATGTCCTATCACCCTGGTGAGGCTGTGGGGTGGGGGTTGGCAAACAGGCTTCAGAAAGCTGCAATCTCTTGAATTGAGGGCAGCAGGATGATCGAGGGATTGGAAAATACAACAAAAAAAGCAAAATGGTTAGCAAGGCTAGAGGTGGGCAAAAATTACAGGAAGGCTGTCTTCAGTATCTTATGTGCTACTTCTTAAAGTGTGTCTACCAGATCTGAAGTATTGTCCAAACAGTGAGTGGTTACAGCCGGAAGTTTTCAGTTAAATGAAAATAACAGTTTTATAATTAAACAGACCTATAGGAATGGGGGTCTCTGCCCTTTGTGTTGGGGTTTCAGGCAGCTGGTAGGTGCAGAACTGGAATATAAGTCTTCTGATCTAATGTCAGAAGAAAAAAGAAAGACAAAACAAGGGAATATAAACGATAGATTTACTATATAATAACACATATTTACTGAACACTAGTATGTGTCAGACCCCTTTTCGAATCTTTACAACGAAATAGGCATTTCAGTTCTCATTTTATCAAGTAAGAAACTGAGGCGCAGATTGAATGTCTAGCCCAAGATCATACAGCTTCCTAATGAAAGAGCGGAGGCTGGAAGGAAGATCATTCTGGTGCCCAGAATGACGCCTGCCTGCCGGGTTTCACAAGCCGGTATGGCATGGTGCATGGGGGTGGAGGGTCTTTTCGGGCTCTGTTTCCAGGTATTTTGTGGTCAGGTTGTGCACCTCGCCTCCTTACAGGGCTACCAGATCCCCAAAGGCTGGAGCGTGATGTACAGTATCCGGGACACGCACGAGACCGCAGCTGTGTATCGTAGCCCGCCGGAAGGCTTCGACCCGGAGCGCTTTAGCGCAGCGCGTGAAGATGCTCCGGGCACCTCCGGCCGCTTTCATTACATCCCTTTCGGTGGCGGAGCGCGCAGCTGTCTCGGCCAGGAGCTGGCACAGGCAGTACTGCAGCTACTAGCTGTGGAGCTGGTGCGCACCGCTCGCTGGGAACTGGCCACGTCCGCCTTCCCGGCCATGCAGACGGTGCCCATCGTGCACCCGGTGGACGGGCTTCGGCTCCTCTTCCACCCGCTCGCGCCTCCGGCCTCAGGGAATGAGCTACACCTCTGAGCGGCGGCGCTGAGAGACTTGGCTTGCCCAGTGGCTGCTGCGCGCCCTACATCCCGCGAGCATTCACCCGTCACTAATTAGTTTAACAAACCTTCACCGAACGTGTCTCGGTGCTGGACTTTAGCGAGTAAGAAGTCTTGCCACCGCCATCGAGTCAAAGCGCCGTAGAGAGTACGTGGATCGCGGGCCCGCGGCGGGGGTTACACAGAGAACAGGCGCACGTGGTGGGAACTACAAGACTTTCGAGGAAGCCAAATCGCCAGGGGGCCATTCCTGAATTGATTTGGGTCCTTGAGAAAAAAAAACACCAAAAGGGAGCCCAACAGAAGGTAACGGGCCTCCGGTTTCATGCGACTTGGGTCTTTCTGCCCGTCTAATCTCGCGGAAACTCTGAACTGGGTGCGCTTCCAGGTCCCTGAACAGCCAAACATCACCGGATTCTGCTGGAGACTTATTAAAAGAAAAATTCCTACTTCAAGAACGCATTTAATCTTTCCAGGGTAGAAAAGGCATACCGAGATGTCTCTAAAGATGGTTCATGGGAGATTGAGACATAATCCCCTCATGGGAGGCTGAGATATAATCAGAGAGGTTTGGGATATTTGTACCCAAAACAGGAAGGCCAAGAAATAAAAGTTCCTGCCAGCGGTTGAGCAAGGAGGCTAGGGCTTAGCTGAGCTGCTGCTCCTTGGTGGGAAGGCACCAGGTGGAGGGTGGGGGAGGCACATAAAGGACCTACCTGAAGGACCCACCCCGGAGCATATTCAGAAGGTGGACAGCACCAATCCTTCACTGGACGGGCTTCATTTCTGAGCCTAGTTCTGGAGACGGCTTTGAATTATCTCCCCCATAGCTAGCTGCAGAAATCTCCTGGTTTACTACTTCAATATCCTCTCTGTTACAGAGGATGAACTAAGGAGGAAAGAACCAAAGACTCCCCAAGGAGCCAGCAATAGGTTTCTGAACTCCCCCACCAGTGCTTCCTCTACCCCATCACTTAACCCCACTGCTTCACCCTCTGGGCTTAGCCCCTTTGGCTTTTCATAGGAATCCTTAGCCCACTTCAACCTGCTACCCATATTCACACAGGCCTGGGCAGCTGAACATGACTGGTGAGCTGGGGAAGTTGCCTCTCAGGCCAGAGCTGACCCCTTAATGAACCAGAAGGAAGCCAGTGCCCTCCTGACCTTATGCTTAAGGTGGATCCTAGGGCCTGAAGGAAAGGGGGAACTCAGCAGGGGTGTGCAGGGTTGGCAGCTCCAAAGCATAGCCGGCTCTTCCAAGAGGGGCTGACACTGCCATAACCCCCATACAGCGCAATTCATCACCCATGGCTGGTCACAGGTCGGGCGCCAGACCCTGAGCTCAGCAGGCGCCAGAGGTAGCAAAGGTGGCAGGATGCAGGTCTGCCCTTAGGGTGCTCTTGGAAACACTTAGGACATCTGGGTCTGAGAAGCATATGTCTGGGTGAGGAGGCCAAAGGACCCCAGCTTCAGGATTGATTCTGATTTAGGGAGAGTGTAGAAATATGAGGCGTAGCCTATCAGAAACCAGGATAGTCTATCAGTTCCCAGAAACTTGGTTTACCTGCACTTGGGTTTGAACTAAATAAGCCATAGGAGTGGCTCCAAATTTACTCTAATTTCTCGTTGCTACATCATGTTAATAATTTTAAGGAATAAGGTTCCCTGATTTAGTAGCTCTAAATTCTCTGGGAAGGAGCAGATGTGGTTATTGCCCTTCTGTTCTTGATATTGCTCATGGAAGGAGGCAATGAACTAGCAAAATAAATAAATAAATAAAACAAACAAACAAACAAACAAAAAAAACCCATAAGAACAAGAATCTGTCCAGTGGTGATAAGCCCCGTAAAGAATATAAAGCGAAGCATCTGTAATAGAGTGGTGGGCTGGGAAAGCTTTTCTGAGACGGTGATATTCAACTTTGGAAGGAACCAGAGAGTGGCAGAGGGAACAGCAGGTATGGAACCCTGAGGATAAAAATGTTCAAGAAGGGAGAAAAATGGAGGGGTGCTTCAGCTGCCCTAGTTCATCTGACTTATCTACCTCTGGATCCTCCCTTTCCCTTCAGTAAAGAAACAAATCAAATCAAAACAAAACAACAACAACAAAAAGGTTTCTCACCTCCACCTCTTAGCAATGAAATGTTTTGTAAACATTTTGGAAACAGTCTATTTCCAGCCAGCCAAACCCCCCTCCCCGCCCACCACCACTAGATCAAAGTTCTTTGGGGGCTGGTAATTTATTGACCCCCTCTCCCCCTTCAAGATGTTCTTTAATGATCTTTCACTCTCATATGTAATTTTTTCCCTGGCAACAGATACCCCCGCTCGGGTCTCGATGAGCAGGCAGGTTTTTCCTTTTTCTTTCTTCTTCTTCTTTTTTTTTTTTGTCTGTGGCAACTTCCAGCGCGCAGGCCTCGCTCATCCTGTGACCAGGCGCGAGCTGAACTTGGCGAGGTGGCCCCGCAGAGTTCACTCGGATGTCACGGTCCGGCCTGCAGGGGTCACAGGCGGGTCAGGCCTGAGGATTGGGAATGGGCCCCAGGTCACGCTCCCGCTCCCGATAGTCAGTTTTGCACACCAGCCGGAGGCGCTCTACAAAGGGGAGGGTTGGGGATTTCTGAGAATTACCTCTAGCGCGATTCTCCCCGGTTCCTGCTAGTGCCCAGGAAGTTGACTAAAAGAAATGACAGTAAGAGACCGTCTTGCCCAGAGATTCTGAATCGCTAACTCCTCCAAACACACCCTGTGGAGACCCTGGCTTGGAGATTTGCTGGACTGTGCGGGTCGCTAAGACCTCCGCATACATTTCCTGACCCTCCGAGTTTGGGGACCACCGGGATCCCCATTAGTGCCACGTATTTAAGCTCTCAGGATTAAAATTTTCCGTCTCCAAGGGACGCTTTCCAAGGCGTGCGAGAGTGCTTCTGCTAGAGCCAGTGCTTCTAAACAAACGTACGTCATTCTGTTTCATTTTCGGGGCCGCTGGTACGTTCAGCGCGCAAACCCAGGCAGCGTGTGGCTCTGACTGGTCGGAAGCGGTGTAGCTCGGCCAGGTGGGAAACAGTGAACGCTCTTGCGCACCCGGTAGTGCTGGAGCTCAGCTACTGGCTGCAGAAGCGGCTTATTGGAGTTGGGCAGAGTCCAGAGGACCCGCTCCCGGGTATACATTCCCTCAACCTTCCCATTAGCTGCCGAGAGACATCTGGGTTTAGGGCCAAAATGCCCTCTCGCCAGAGTGAGGACAGTAGCTTTACACAGGCTGGGAAGTGGGGGAGCGGAGGAAGGCTCTAAGCGCCCAAGTCCTGGCCACCCTGGTAATGCAGCTTAGCGTTCCTGAAACTAGGAAGAGTCTTTACATCCAGAAGCTAGGTTTGGGAACTCACAGCTGCCCTGAGTTGTAGACAGATTAGGAACGATCACCTCCATCCTAAGGAGGAGCAAACAGGCACAGGAATGTTTAATGACTTGTCCAAGGTCAGGCAAGTAGAGTTGGAGCCAGGACTCCTGGGCTTTCCTTTGCTCTGTCTGGGTCTCCTTACCCTACTATGACCAAGGACTTCTTCCCCGCTGCCCAGGTAGAACTGCAAGACCCAGGGTGTTAGGGAACCGGCGGCGTGGCCGGATCACACAGCCTGGCGTTGATTGTGGAGCAGTGGATGAATTGCCCCTGGGGTCCGCCTCTGGAGAGGCAAAATAAGGGATCAGGCTGTGCAGGTTTGCATCAGATTCCTGAGGGACCTGGATGCTTACTTGTACCCTTCCGGAGGACTTTCCAAGACTTTATGAGTACTCCCTTGTGACCGGGAGCTAGGATCCACGACCCGCAGGTCATATTTGACTCCCAATGGTTCTCGCTTGTGTCCTGGTCCTGGGCTCTTCTCTGGAATCCTCGAAAGTCGGGAAACCTGCGTTCTGGACCTAAGTTACCACACCTGTGGGAGGAGTTCACTGAATAAAGATTGCTGAGCACGCTTCCCTTTGCTTCTTGAGCAGGTGGACAGGAACCCACGCGACACTTGTACATGGAAAGCCCGTGGAGGCGGCTTTGGGCTGGGGCGACGCTTGGATCAGGCAGGAGGGATTTCAAGGGCCTCCTGAAAGAGCCAGGATAGGAATTCTCGCTCCTGGGAACCCAGAGTCCGCCCCCACTCCCTGCTGTCTGGGAGCTCCGCACACCTTGGATGGGGGAGGCGGCGCTCCTAGCCTAGCACCCCAGGAGGCGCGCTCCGAGGGTAGCAGCTACCGCTCCGCCTCTGCTTCGGCGCAGAACAAACGGTTAAAGATTTTGGGCTGCGCCTCGCGGGGGGGAGGAGCCAGGGGCCCAATCCGCAATTAAAGATGAACTTTGAGTGAACTAATTTGTGTCTAACCAAGGTAACGTGAGCAGTAACCTGGACCGCCTATAAAGCGGGCGCGCGGCGGGGTTGGAGAGCTGGTGGCGGCGGCAGGTGGCGCGGGAGACCGTAGCGTGCCATGGGGCTCCCCGCGCTGCTGGCCAGTGCGCTTTGCACCTTTGTGCTACCACTGCTGCTCTTTTTGGCTGCGATCAAGCTCTGGGACTTGTACTGCGTGAGCAGCCGCGACCGCAGCTGCTCTCTTCCCTTACCCCCCGGGACTATGGGCTTCCCATTCTTTGGGGAAACGTTGCAGATGGTGCTGCAGGTAAGGAAGCTTGGGGCGGGACGCTTCCCTGGAGCTCGGCTCAGCTCTGGATCTTAGCTGAAGCCAGGTTAGGCATACGGGTGAAGGAAACGACTGCAGCTAGGAACGGAGCTAGCGGAAGGCGCGAAGCTCCCAGGCGACCCCTCATGCCCACGTCTCTCTACGGTCTTCTCACAGCGGAGGAAGTTTCTGCAGATGAAGCGCAGGAAATACGGCTTCATTTACAAGACACATCTATTTGGGCGGCCCACGGTTCGGGTGATGGGCGCGGACAACGTGCGGCGCATCTTGCTCGGAGAGCATCGGCTGGTGTCTGTCCACTGGCCCGCGTCTGTGCGCACCATCTTGGGCTCTGGCTGTCTCTCCAACCTGCATGATTCCTCGCACAAGCAGCGCAAGAAGGTGAGGGCGGGGTGGGGACTCCTGGGCAAGGAGCAGGACTCCTTTTCTGGAGAGGTTCAGGCAGATAAATGCAAGGCAAGTGCTAGCAGAGGTGGGACTTGGACTCCTCCGAGCTCTCGTTTAGCTTTCCCAGCCGGAATGTACGTAGAGTCTGGAGGAGCTGAGGTTGTATGGCCTGGGACCCAGGAAGGTGAGATGGAGCGGATAGAGGATTTTAACGATCTTGGCTTCTCGGGACCCAGGTGATTATGCAGGCTTTCAGCCGCGAGGCACTCCAGTGCTACGTGCCAGTGATCATTGAAGAAGTGGGCAGTTGCCTGGAACGATGGCTGAGCTGCGGCGAGCGCGGCCTTCTGGTCTACCCCGAGGTGAAGCGCCTCATGTTCCGCATCGCCATGCGCATCCTGCTGGGCTGCGAGCCCCCGCGGGCTGGCAGCGGAGAGGCAGAGCAGCAGCTAGTCGAAGCCTTTGAGGAGATGACCCGCAATCTCTTCTCGCTACCCATCGACGTGCCTTTCAGCGGGTTGTACCGGGTAAGGGCGGCAGGCGGGGTGCGAAGTTTGGGGCGCAGGAGCCGGGCGTCTGCTCACCGCCTCACTCTCTCTCTCTCTCTCTCTGCTCAGGGCATGAAGGCGCGGAACCTCATTCACGCGCGAATCGAGGAGAACATTAGAGCCAAGATCTGCCGGCTGCGGGCTGGGGAAGCAGACAGGAGCTGTAAAGACGCGCTGCAGCTGTTAATTGAGCACTCCTGGGAAAGGGGAGAGCGGCTGGACATGCAGGTGAGTGATGGCTTCAAAGCGGGGGATGTGGAATTGGGTCCCCAGCTTTTCAACCCGCAGTGCTTGGGGGCCCTCAAAGCTTCTCAGAGTGGGCACCCTGCCCAGACTCCAGCAATAATAACCCGAAGAGTTGATACTAGGTCAGTAGAGCCGCTAAAGAGGCTGCCGCCGAACTCTAAGAGCGTCCCCTGGTCTTTCCAAATTTCAAAGGGAAAAATCGGAATCTGCAAATGTTAATAAAGAAACTTGGACGTTTTTAATAAAATCAAGGCCTTAACTCAGGAGGTCCAGGTACAGGTAGCTAATCTAAAGAGACTGCATTCTCTTTAAAGACGTTTGGTCTCTTGACTTTCTATCAGCAAAACTTTTTGCGTTTCTAGTCTTCCCTCCAGAACCCTCAGTTGGATTCTGAGTAATCACTGTGAACCTGCATGGAAACTTGTAAAAATATGGGTCTTACTCGATTCTTAGGCACTAAAGCAATCTTCAACTGAACTACTCTTTGGAGGACACGAAACCACGGCCAGTGCAGCTACATCTCTGATCACTTACCTGGGACTGTATCCTCATGTTCTCCAGAAAGTTAGAGAGGAGCTGAAGAGTAAGGTAAGAGGATTCTGGGAGTTCTGTATTAGCTTAGGAATTTCAGTTGCTCCCTTACCAACTTCTCTCCTGATTAGGTCTGCTGAGTATTTCACTGAATATTTTGAAAGTGCCTGGCCAAGGGCAGAGTGGGCCTGTTGGGGGAGAGAATCTTGAGCTGTGATCCTACTTGGGCAGGATTAGACCTTGTATTCCTGCCTCTCCTCTACATTTTGCAGAAATTTGGAGATTTCCAGATAGTTTCCACTTTCTTAGATTTGGGTGTTCAAGGGCATGAATAGAATAGTGTGATAAGTGCAAGTAGCTGATGGGGCGGTGACAGGGGTAGGGAAGCTTGACCCTTCTTCATTGTGATCAGCATTTTCTTAGAATTGTAAATAGAGGATGGATTTGGGCAGAGAGTGGAGGTAAGTGGCTCCTGGCTGCTGTTTCCCTCTATTCTCTGCCATCCTGAGGCCCTTTGGGTTCAGCTACCATCTAAGTCCTATTTATGTCTTCTGGGCTGATTTTATTGGTGTGCAGGGCTTACTTTGCAAGAGCAATCAAGACAACAAGTTGGATATGGAAATCCTGGAACAACTTAAGTATATAGGGTGTGTTATTAAGGAGACCCTCCGACTGAATCCCCCAGTTCCAGGAGGATTTCGAGTTGCTCTGAAGACTTTTGAATTAAATGTAAGTTAAGAATTCTACCCGCATCCCACTCCTGCTCTGCCCCTTTTGTTGTTTTAAACCTATCCTTGCTTCCTTGAACATTGGCTTGAATTCTTTATGCTTTTGAAAACATTGTCCTGTGCTAGAACCAATCCCTCTCTCTCCCAACCCTCTTTCTTTTAACTCATAATACCCCCAAGGAGATCCCTGGTAGTTTTTTGTTGGTGAAAGTTAAATTCCAGTTTGTCAGCCCTTGGGACTTCATAATCTTTTGCAGGGATACCAGATTCCCAAGGGCTGGAATGTTATCTACAGTATCTGTGATACTCATGATGTGGCTGATATCTTCACTAACAAGGAGGAATTTAATCCTGATCGCTTTATGCCGCCTCACCCAGAGGATGCATCTAGGTTCAGCTTCATCCCATTTGGAGGAGGCCTTAGGAGCTGTGTAGGCAAAGAATTTGCAAAAATTCTTCTCAAAATATTTACAGTGGAGCTGGCCAGGCATTGTGACTGGCGGCTTCTAAATGGACCTCCTACAATGAAAACCAGTCCCACTGTGTATCCTGTGGATAATCTCCCTGCAAGATTCACTCATTTCCAGGGAGAAGTCTGATGGGCATGAATGCTCAAATCTTGGACTTATTTGAAGTGTACATATGAGTTTTTATATACTGTTGTGTTGAATTATTATATTTAATTTCTAAATGATATTATAATATTTATGTGTCTCTACTATAGCACCATGGTCTTTAAATATTAAAATAATGAGTTTGTATAACTTCCAAATGAAATAAAATTTGAAAATATTTTTCTTGCACTGAAGGAAATGGAAAAATCCACTGGTTTAATGTTTGGACTTAATGTTTGTGACCAGATTTCTAAATGTTTACCTGGGTTGATTTGTCATCTGTGCATATTTATTTTTTGTAAGGAGGAAATCTTAGCTAATTGTTTTTCTCTCAATAGTTATTTGAAAATAAGTATTAGGTGTGTGTTGGCTCAAAGGTATCTTTGCAAATTCTTTAAAGGTAATTTAGATTCCCTGTTTGGAAAATCTATTAAGGTTAATTTAATTAATTAAAATTTTTTCTTTGTGGTGCTGTCTGGGGATTGAACCCAGGGTTTCATGCACACTAGGCAAGTGCTATATTGCTGAGCTACATCCCCAGCCCAAAGTTAATTTTACTTTTTTGTTTTGTTTTTGTATTTTGTGGTGCTTGGGATTGAACCCAGGGCAATTTTAGTTTTTTTTTTTTTTTTTAACTTCATTTTAGGGAAAGATGATTCTGAAAAGGTCACACGCTGATAATTATCATTCTACAATAACACCTTCATCATATCTAGCATTTAATAAACATAATAAATCCATATGCTTGAATAGAGCCAGAACTTTTCTCTGAAGTTAAGGTTGTAGATAAGACAAAGCTAGTGACTCCACTTATGGACAGTCCTTGGCTAAAATGAGACCAAAATTCATTGGCATGTCACCTTTACTTAGAAGTTGCATTTGAAAACAGTTCGGGGAAAGGCAAGTCTCTGGTTTAGATAAGCTGAGCCCAGGTTTTCTTTATTCAAAATGAGGCAGGAGGAGCAGATTTAACAAACTGACAGATAAAGTTTTTATCTATCCCAGGCAATAGGGTGTGAGCCTGACATGACTGATAAAATGGCCCAGTCATGACCCTGTGAACCTTGGCTAACCTCCGTGAAAGCGCAGTTTTGTCACATTTCTGACCCTGGCATGGCCATGTTCTGAACTGAAGGCCAGACTCTCAATCCAGAAAGGTTAGGCCTGGTGACTTGCTTATGCAAGCACATTTTCCGTTTTGAAATGGCACAATCTGCTCACTGAACCTCTGATGGCTTGTAGGTTGGACTTTAAAATTTTCATTACAATTTTAGAATTTGGCAATGCTGAAGAAACCAGGTAGTCTACACAGGTATTTGAACAAAGTTCTGTTCATACAATTAGAATTTCATGTTCTACCTGACTTTAATATTTAGGTAGAGCTTGGATTGCACTCATTGTTGGAGTCTTCTGATTTTTAGAATGTTTATACAATAACTTATAATGCTTTATAATAACCTTATAAAGCCATTTAAAAAATGTGATAGACTTACATAGTTTCAGCCAAGATTTAGTGTTCTGTAATGTACAAAAATGCCTCCTTCTCTGCATAACATTTGCCCTAGATCTTTCCAGCCAGGAGCACACTAGCCTGAGGGGCGTCATTATTTCAGATAATTTATGTAAGGTTACTTTAAAAAAGATTTTAACTCTTAATTTTGCTGGAGGACAGTTAGCCTCTAACAACGATGTTTTTGGTGGCTTTGCGTCCCTGTTTCTCTATAAGCATAGTGTAATAAGAAATTTGAGACATTTTAGCATATAATTCAATGTTTAAATTCCACCTATTTTTAATCTGGCAAGCTTTAAGGAAAACTTTTGTCTTTCCCAGAGCTACCTTTAGCTCAATTATGCTTATCAGTTATAGAGTAGTATAGAATTACCTGAAAAAAACTTGTTAAAAACCCAATTTTCGATGATGCTGAGTGCTCAGTGAAGGCACTTTAGTTTTGGGGTGAGTGTGGGGTAGACTGAACATTTGTAGGCTGCTGTATTGGACATAAAATGAGCCTGGTTTGTTTATCTGCGGCAAATGTGTCTTATGGCTCAGGTGCCCCTAGGTCACTGTCCGTGCAGTGGAGAAATGATGCAGACTTGGCCAGAACTGTGGGAGGAGGGGAGATGGTATGGGAAATGATGCTGTGGGGCTCATTGTTGGAATCTTGCAGAGATGAAGGGGTGCTGTGTTTTCTGGGGCTGGGTGTATATCCGCTAAGCTGGTCAAGTTGGAACCCTCTGTCTCCTTCCGCCAATGTCCTTTGCCCTTATTGCCTCCCATGACCTCTTGTCTTCAGTCAGAGGAGTGGCACCAATGAGCACTGTCACGGCAAGGATGTAGAAGCCTAGAACTTTGACATTCAGAAAAACTGTGGCCCTTGCTTAGCACAACCCTTGGGGGCCCAGAGAGGGACTGATTTGCCTGGGGGTGGTGGAATCAGAAAAGACCTCCTGATACCCCTTTTTCCCCTTCTCTCTTTTTTTTAAACAGCTAATTATACCTGCCTGATATTGTTCCAACTTTCTGTAGCCAGACGACTAGACCAAGAGTCTCCATCTCATAACTTTCTACATTTCTCCTGCTACCTTTCCCCTCTCCTCCCACAGTGCTGATCAGTTCTTTTGCAGGCCATCAGAGGCAACTGGTAAAATGGGAGCAGTGAGAGGAAGTGGCTGCTCCCTCCAGATCCCTTATCTCCTGGGACCAGTTCCTTGCTTTTCGAACCTTGCCACCCCCAAGAGGTCCACAAGGGGGCGGGCTTCTCCCTTGTATGCCAAACTCAGGGACTGGTGGTTTTCCCACCAGTGTCCATGAAATCCAGTGTCCAAACACTCTGGCCCAAGAACACTTTGAGCACAGATAGATAGAGGCCTCAGGGTACCCACAGCTTAGCAACTACTCCACAACAGTCCTGGCCCTTCTGAAGGTGGTCACCCCAACTGGGTTGAGCAGGACTGTCTTTCAGTTTTGGAAGACAGTCTGTGATCTCTGAGGTTAGCCAGCCCACAGCCCCAGCATTGCCCACACACTACCCACAATCTGACTTGTGTCACTCTTACTCCACCTGGACAATCGCTCTCAGTTGTGAGGGAGCAGGGACCACAGTTTTTCAAGAATATGGGCAACCTAGTTGGTGTTCAGATGCCCTTACCCAAGTCCCTGAGCCATCCTATGAAAGCACTGTGGGAGGAGCAAGGGGTGGTTGGAGAAGCTGTGGTGGCTCCTTTAAGCAGTTGGAGCTCTGCTGTAGTAAATACAGATTTAGACCAGTTCTGATAAAGAGAGTATGTGCAGAGGAGGGTGAAATAGAAGAAGGGAGACGCTGGGCCATCTAAAAAGTTCACTAGAACCCTTTAGTGATCAAACAGGCCACCTGCGAAGGAACAAGCATGCATCCAAGCAGAAGCTGGGTAACTAAGCCACCATAGGGATCATAACAGGGAGGGTGAAGCTGGAGTAAATGACCCTCCCAAGCTTCTTCAACAATTTAACAGTGGTGAAGCTCTTAAAATTGATTCTGTATTATTAATCCAATTCCTCAGATACCTACTTTACTTTAAAATGTGGATCAACTTCCATCTAGGGATATAGGACATCCCCACATCCTCTTCCAGAACATTCAGCAGTCCTTAGTGATCATTCTCTCCAACCTCATGGCCAGATCTAGAGGTAGAACTGCAGGGAGGACTGACCTGTGACCTCAGAGACACTAAGTGCCATGTGACCTGTTGCTTCCAGCTGCGGTTCCTGTGCATGCTCTAATATATCCAAGGCCTCTCCCCGCTGTCCCATGCTGACCATTCATAGGACCTAGCCTCAGGAACAGTACTCTGCTTTCCCCATTCCTTCTACTGTGCTGTGCACTGAGCTGGAGTCTGTCCATTTCAGTTATCCTTTTTCTCACCTCCTGTAAAGCTACTCAAGGCCGGGAAGTGTGTCTCAGCATTCTAATCTTAGAAATCTAGTCCACTCCCACTCCTCCCTGCCTTCCCCAGAATATACTCACACATAGTAGGTGTTTTGGGGGGGAGAGAAAGCTTCTTGGGGCCAATTGACACCATTTACTCTGTTTCTCCAACTTACATGGTGCCATGTTTTTCTTTGAAAAGTGAAACTTAGGAAAATCTCAGCAGCCGCGAGCTTACACGGCTGTGGTTTAACAGCATGTCACATTCCTGAAACCGACGCTCCATGCGTTTTTGGCCAAACAAGCTTTCCTCCCTTTGAAGTAAAGTCAACTTGAGTTAGAACCCTGGGATGGGGTGGGGACCTAGCTCTGGCCAGCGGGGTGGGTTTTCTGGGTGAGAGTTATCATGTTGCAATATTTGTAACCACATCTCTTTAGTACAAAAGCTGCCCCACACTGCAAGCCTTCTCACTGCTGCCAAACCCTCCTAGTTGACCAGGGGTTAGAAACGTATGTACAAAAATTTTTTGGTGTGGAGAGAGGGGGTGTACCAGGGATTGAACTCAGGGGCACTCAACCACTTAGCCACATCCCCAGCCCTTTTTAGTATTTTATTTAGAGACAGGGTCTTGCCGAGTTGCTTAGCATCTTGCTGTTGCTGAGGCTGGCTTTGATCTTGTGATCCTCCTGTCTCAGCCTCTGGAGCCACTGGGATTATAGGAGTATGCCCTATGTACGCATTTCTGATAGTAGATGCTTCAAGATTTTTATTTGCAGTCATTTTTATGTTCACTTAATTGTGAAAAGAAGACAAGGTGTTTTGCTTGTAATTTGACAAAACAAACTCTTTAAGAACAGCCATATCGATTCATTGATTCCGTAAATACAGCCATACCATCCAACAGAGCAGTGACTTATTAAATGATAGATGAGGGCATTCAGTATTCTGAAATGGAAAGTTCATTTAATATCATCATTAGTCACAGATTACTTTAGAGCTGGAAGGAAAACAGTAGACAGATCATCCAAGCCCTCTAGGTCACCGCAGAGAAATCTGAAGTACAAAGAAAACTTAGGTTACCATGGAGAAGGGCCCAGTATGTTGTAGGACCTGGTCATCAATTTTTAAAAATAGCTATATTGCTTATTTATTTGAGTGTAGTGGGAAGAAAAAAAAAAACAGGCAGGTGAGCGGATCATTTGAGACCAAATTGTTTCCAGATTCTTGCTCTTCACTATATCTCTGAGAGAAGCTCTTGAAGGTTCTCTATGAACTTGGAGTTTTGTGGCCAGAAAGAATTTGACCCAAAGCCTGGGAGAAAGTACAAAATTGTTGGCATTTCTGGTGAGCCTAGTGGCTAAGTCTCCACATTTGTAGAGCTGGACTCTCGGGCATTTTGCAGCCCTGATACTGAGTAGTAGAAAATAGTTTCTTAGGCAAGACTGCTTACTTGTGAGAAAAAGGTGTTCTCAGACTTGAAGGTGCATCAGAATCATCTGGAGGACTTGTTGAAATACATAAACATCCAAGACTTTCTGGGTTGATCCTAGAAATTTCATTTCTAACAAGTTTCTGGGTGACGCTGATGCTGCTAGTCCAGAGGCCAGAGTACCACTGATAAAAAAGTTTTTTTGATCTGTAGGTCAAGGATCACAGACTTAAGGGGATTGGTAGGTAATGTGAGGGTAATGTAATGTAATGTAACTTGAACCAGGTGATGGGTGTGCTGACATGGGCATCACAGGTACCCCTTAGAGTGGCTTAGCCCTGACCTATCTTTGACCTGTAGGAATGAAGACCTTGGTTTGAAGCTCTTGCAATTATTTTAGGAGATGCTGGGCCTCAAGATTTACATAGGAATATCTTTTCTAGATATTGGTGGCCAATTTATATTTTTAAAAAGTGTACATGGAAAAGAAAACTTGTTTGTAGCTTTGCTGGCTGCCAGTTTGGAACTTGCATCTTTGATCTTAGGGGAGTTTTTAGAGGGCTCAATCAGGAGTGGGTTAGCTGGGTGGTTGTAGTTATGATGTTGGCTGAAAATAGAGTCAGTCTGAAGGCTTGATTGGGGCTGGGAGATCTGCTTCCAAGATGGCATATTCACATGGCTGTTGGCAGGAGGCCTCAGTACCTTGTTATGTGATTTCCTCCACAGGGTTGCTTGGGGATTCCCATGGCATGGCAGCTGTCTTCACCCAGATCAAGTGATCCAAAGAAAGGAGCAAGACAGAGGCCCCAGTGTCTTTTATGTCTAGCCTTGGAAGTCACACTTCATCATATCCACAATATATTATTGATTACAGAGGTTAGCTATATCACTCGGTGGGGGGAGCATTTAGAGGTTGGCTTTCCACAGTGTGTTTGAGTAGATTATCCCCCTATGTTGTCTGTTTCTGGGCAATCCTTCATTCTGATATTTTCACTGTGACCCATTGCCCACAGACATTTACAGCTGACATCAAGGAAAAACATAGTGTAGCATTTCTCAGCTGGTTAGAGTCTAAGGGATCATGTAGGCCAAGGTTGCAAATTGGAAACCCTTGGGAAGAGCTTGAGTACATGGATGTTTAAACTTTTCTGTTTGCCAAAGTTTCCAACCAGCCAACTTCATTCATTTATATTACTTTTCAGAACTCTGAGTCATTTGACGTTAGATAATCCAATTGCCAGAGTGACAAACTATCCTGGTTTGTCTGGGATGCAAGTCTTTCCTGAGACTCAGGACTTTCAGTTCCAAAACTTGGATAGTTCTAGGATTTAATTCAGACAGCAAGCAGATGTGAGTCAATCCAGTTACTTCCACAAATGTACTCCATAGACCAGCAACATCTGGGTTACCTGGTTGCCTGTCAGATATGCAACATCTCAGGCCCCACCCCAGATCTAATGAGTCAATCTGCAGTTAAACAAGAGTGCCAGGTGACTCTGATGCATGTTAAGGTTTGAGGCTCTCTGGATGGAAGCAAAACCTGGATTTGGGAATCTCTGAGGCTTCAAATTTGCTGACTTTGTGGGTAAAATAGATTTAAAAATGAACCACTTGTGCTGTGGTAATTTGACCTTGACATATACATCTTTTTTTTTTCTTTCTTTCTTCCTGCCTCCCTCCATCCCCCAAAGTAAAGACATCTAAAATTTCATTGTTGGAAGGAACCTAAAAGTCCCAGTTCTCACCTGGGTTTTAGTAGTGGTTTTCATATAACACTTTTTACAGTTGAAATTTTCCCCCTTCTCAAACAAAAATGTCATAAACAACATAGATAAGGGGAGACTGCTGGGCATTTAGGTTATTTCCAGTATCTGACACTCTAAGCAGTGTGCAGTAAATATCCTTGTATGTATAACCTTGTGTATGAACGAGTGCTTGCTTTCTGTAGGTTTGATTCCTGAAAGTGAGGTTGTTGCATTGCTGAGAATGTGCATTTAAAATTGTGCTGGTCATCTAAACAGGTACCCGTTCAAAGAGGAGTGTTTGAAAAAATAGTGGTGCAATTATTTTATGGAAAGTTATGGAGCCATAATGGAGTAAGTACAATGGATTCTGTTGACCTTGAGGAATGGCTATGACAGACTGTTTCATAGGGAGAAGTTGCAGAAGGACTTAGTTAACTGGGTGGGGGGGCAGAATTGATAAGGATACTTCCCAAGGAGATTATTTACACTTCCCAAATACATTTATGGATTTATGGATGCTGTTTCTGGTTGCAAGGCATTTTTTAATGTATTTTTAAAAATTGTAGTTGGACACAATATCTTTGTTTTTGTTTATTTTTATGTGGTGCTGAGGATCGAACTCAGGGCCTCGCATGCGCTAGGTGAGCGCTCTACCTCTAAGCCACAAACCCAGCCCCCTGCAAGGCATTTTTTGTGGTTAAGGTACTAGGAGCCTTAACCACTGAGCCACATCTTCAGCCCTTTTATATATTTTATTTAGAGACAGGGTCTCACTGGGTTCCTTAGGGTCCCACTAAGTTGTTGAGGCTGGCTTTGAACTTGGAATCCTCCTGCTTCTGCTTATGAGCTGCTGGGATTATAGGCGTGTGCCACTGGTGCACAGTTTAGGAATTTGTTTTTGGTTTTGGTGCTGGGGATGGAACCCAGGGCCTTACTCATGATAGACAAGTGCTCTTCCACTGAGCTTCACCCTCAGCTCATTGATTTTGTAATTAAGAATTTTAGGAGAGACAAAATAATGGAGGTGCCATTTTGGAGACTGCCAGTCTCCCCTTTCAGTCCATTCTTCCTGTCTCTGCCCTCTCTCTCCATGTTCCTTCTTTCCACTTTCAGAGGAAATGTCCCAGTTGCCAGTTATGAACATCTGATTGGCTGAGTCAAGGTCATATGCCCATGGACTGCCAGTTTTGGGAGAGGGAATGTCTGACTCTATCCTAAGAGGGGAAAGATGATCGCCAAAACTATGTGGGGACAGTCGCCTCCCAACTAGGAGGTATATGGTAATGCTATTTGACCCCCAATCAGTAACTGAAGTGGAAAATCTTATAGCCCTACCTTTTTGAAACTTCCATGTATTTGGAAAAGCAGTTCTAAGTTTATTAAATTTTTATTTTATTTTATTTTTTTAGCACACTAGGAAAAATAGCCAAAATTTGCTGAACATTTACTGTGTTATTTCACATTGTCTGATTTGATATACATGATAATATTCATGATGCAGATACAAGTCATTTTTTTTTTTTTAGGTGGGGGTCTTGCTATGTTGACCAGGCTAGTCTTGAAGTCATGGACTCAAGTGATCCCCCACCTCAGCTTCCCAAGTGGCTGGGACTACAGGCATGCACCAGATACAAATTTGAATGCTGATTTTACAAATGGAGCCATGGAAACACAAAATGGTTGGGTAATATGGCTAGAGTCATAACAGCTAGTAAGTGTTGAAGCCAAAATTGGCAACCAGGCTGTCTGAGTAGAAGGTTCTACTCTGTCTCCAGATTTGTAGCATTTGGAATGGATACTGATTTTATCTGGAATAATAATGACTCCTATTTTCACTGAGCACTTAGTATGTGCCAGGTTCTGTTCTTACGGCTTTCCATGAATTAATTCATTTCATCCTCACAACAACCCCAAATAAGAAAACTAAACCTCTAAGTTACCAGCTACTCAGCTCAGGGTTGAGGCCCAGGCAGTTTGCCTCCAGAGCCCACACAGTCTGCATGACACCCCAGAGCCACTGTCCTCTCTACTCATCAACACCAATGTACTGTTTCTTCTGTATCCATCTGAAAGCATTTCTCTTGGAATCCAGAAATTTGGACTGTTATCAAGATAATTCAACTAAGTTAAGGGTTTTATTTCAATTTTTTGTTTCATTTTGACTCTGAGGCTTTAGACATAAGCTAATGTCATCTAAAATAATTTGAATTAAATGCAGCCTCTGTCGTTGCTGGGGTTTGATTGATTTGAAGGTAATCTAAAAAGACAAAGGAGAGGTTGTGTGTGTGTGTGTGTGTGTGTGTGTGTGTGTGTGTTTGGATTGTGCAGTTCTAAATTTCTATTATTACAGAGATGATAGGAAAGAATAAGAAAGGGAGGAGAGATCAATGAATTTTCTTATTAAATTGTTGCATATCTAAAGTACAGAGATATAACACTTTGGCGGGGGAGGTGTTAAATATGTCATTGCTAGAGGAAATGTGTTTTTCTAAGTTAAAATAGGGTTTATCCTCAATTTGAATTGCAAATCTTCCAAAAGCAGAGTGAAAGGAAGGATAATTCTTGGCAGAAATGAGATCTTTCTACTTTGTTTTATAAAAACTTCCAGAGACAAGCTCTAAATAAGAAATCATAATTATTTAAAAAAATTCAGGTATCCTTCTGATTTGAATATCTTAGATAAACCAAAATAACCAGATAATTTTATACCATACCAACTTGAAAAAAAAAACAAAAACACAAAGACAGTCATCACCTCTTGCTGGATTTTTGGAAGCAGAAAATTTCAGGGTGTGTTTGGCAAATGTGACTTTAGAAATCAGATGTGTCTGTAGAGCATAAACCACAGGACAGAGATAGGGCTGAGAAGTGGGGAGGACTGAGGTCAGATGTGTTTAGCACAGGTGGAACAAGGTGTCAGGTGACATATTTCTCTGTCTTTCCCACACTCCTTGCAGTGAGCATCATTATTTCTGATTTTCATGAAAGTAACTGGAATTCAAGGAGATAAAGTGACTTAGTCCAAGTGCCCTGGCTAGTAATTAGTTAGGAGATTAAATATGGGAAATTTTAGGCAAGAGAAGTGAGGCATGAATGGGTGTGTCAAGAAGGGGACAGCAGCTAAGGACATCTGGGTGGTGGATGTCTAGCGCTTTGTTACTCTAGATCCTCTAGCTGGAGGAGAGGTGAGTGGGAGGGGCCTCCACTTGAGAGCCAGGTGGCTGAGCAGAGGGCAGGGTGTCTGGGAGATGGGGACCTAGGGCAGATGCTGGTTTGGGGAAGGGATGCAGAGGGTCCTTCTGGGCCTGTGAGACTCAGGACAGCCGGTGGAAGTGTTCACAGGCAGGTCTGCCTCTAGGTGAGCTCTGCTCCTGCTCCTGGAGACAGGCTGGATGAATGAGTGAGGTCATCCAGGCACAGTGTGCAGAAAGGGAGGGGAGTGCAAGTCCTTGGGAGAAGGGGACTGAGGCTGAGAGGGACAGGCCAGAGTGGAGAGCAGAAAGCTGGGGAGCAGGTTCAGAAGAACCAACAGGGAGGAGGGAGACTTTTGTTGCTTTTTTTTAAGGCTCTTCAGAGGTAACTCCAAAGGGCACAGAGCTTGATATGTGCCAGAGAAAGAAAGAGATGGGGCTGGGGTTGGAGCTCAGTCTAGAGCACTCACCTCGCATGTGGAAGGCACTGGGTTCCATCCTCAGCACCACAGAAAAATAAAATAAAGGTACTGTGTCCATCTACATCTAAAAAATATCAAAAAGAAGAAGAAGAAGAAGAAGAGGAGGAGGAGGAGGAGGAGGAGGAGGAGGAGGAAGAAAGACAGAGGGGACAGTGGTGGTGGAGTGCGCTATAAAAGGAAGCTGGGACCTTGAAAAGAGGACATAATAATTGTATTTTGAGGAGCCAGACTTTCCTTATTAAAACAGACAAAACTAAAATCTGCTTTGTGATCTCTCTCTCTCTCTCTCTCTCTCTCTCTCTCTCTCTCTCTCTTTAGTACCAGGGATTGAACCCAGGGGTACTTAACCACTGAACCACATCCCCAGCCCTTTTTAATATTTTATTTAGAGACAGGTTCTGGCTGAGTGGCTGAGGTTGGCTTTTGAACTCCCTATCCTCCTGCCTCAGCCTCCCAAGCTGCCAGGATTATAGGCACGCTCCACCATGCCTGGATCTTGTCCACAGTCTTGATGAACATGATGGTCTTGTTGCTTGAATGAAGATACTGGAGCTGGAGGGAGGTAAGGGGCCAGCTCACCTGAGGGAGAGGCGAGAGGGGCTTAGTTGGGTTTGATTGCAGCCTGGTTTGGGGAGGGGCCAGGGGTCATCCAGTCCCCAACACTCCACAGGCCCCTGTCTGGCACTTACCTCTCATCACAGCAGGAGAGCCTGGGAGGAAGGGCTGCTAAGGGCAGTTCCCTCGGCCCATCAATGAGTCCAGACTGTGCCTCCTGCATCCAAGGCCACCCATTTGCTCCATGTGGCTTCCTCTACCCACCTGAAAGCAGCAGGGATGTGGGGCTGGATTTCCACCTAAGTTCTGCTCAAGCATCTGGAGGAGTTTTGTGGGCTCTCTGATCTTGATCACCTTCCTGCTCAGAACTCTGTCTCCAGGGTCCTCTTTCCTGCTCCAAGTAATCTGGGTGATCCTGAAAGAGGACCCTGAGCTCCAGGGTCCCCATTCCTGCTCCAAGCTCCAGAGAATGGGTCATCCCCTCAGCTTCCACATGGGCCTGCCCGGGTGTCATGGCTTGCCCCTTAAAGAGGGAAGTGATCCTGGGCTCTGTCAAACTCAGACTTCTAGACTATATCCCAGGATTAGTGCACACTGAAGCCACTCCGCTCCTCCGTCTGCACAGATGAGCACTTCCTTCCTTCACTTTATCTGCACAGTTGCTACGGTAGACGGAGTTCTAAGACAGCCCCTGAGATTCCCATGCCTGACATCCATGGCTTGGACTTGAATGTCAGAGGGATTTGTGACTATGATAGGCCATCCTTCTTGTGATAAGCTTCCCTTATAGGATGAGAGGGATTTCACGGGTACAGTTAAGGTCCCTAAGTAGTTAAATTTGAGTTACTCAAAAGGGAAAGCATCCTGGATGGGCCTAACCCAGTCAGGTGAGCCCTTGGACCCTTCCTGAAGGAAAAGATCAAGGGTGAGAGTGTGAGAGGCTTATGGAGGGGCAACAAGGTCAGACTTTTTTTACTTTTTTTTTTTTTTTTTGAGAGAGAGAGAGAGAGAGAATTTTTTTTTTAATATTTATTTTTAAGTTTTCGGCAGACACAACATCTTTGTTTGTATGTGGTGCTGAGGATCGAACCCTGGCCGCACGCATGCCAGGTGAGCGCGCTACCGCTTGAGACACATCCCCAGCCCCAACAAGGTCAGACTTGAAGGGAGCCTCTTGGAACTAAGAGAGCCCTGGTTGTCAGCTAGTAAGAACTTGCAGGCCCCAGTCATCCTGTGGAAGAAAACTGAATTCTGCCAGTAATCTGGGTGATTCTGAAAGAGGACCCTGAGCTCCCCATGAGAAGACAGCCCAGCAGATACCTTGATTTCAGCTTGTGACATCCTGAGCAGAGACCCTGTGATGCTGTGTGGGGACATCTGACTATAGAGCTGTGAGTTAAAAAGTGGATGCTGTTTCAAGTCACTAAGACAAGTGCCCAATCTATGTTGCTTATTGTGGTGTTGGGCTAGGTGCTGGGAACAGAGTGAGGAACAAAACAGACATGGTCATACTCTCAAGGATGGGAGGAGAGGACCCATAGCCCAGTGTTAGAAGTGAGTGCCCTCCAGACTGTCCTGGGTTGGAATTCTGGCTCTGTCTTTGGCTCCCAGTCCAAGTGGGCAAATCACTTAAGCTTCCCATGTCTATTTTTTTCCCATCTGCCAAACAAACACCAAAGTAGTGTTACAAAGATTTGTGGGTTAAGTGGGATAACGAAAGTGACATGCTTAGCCTATGGCTGGCATACAACAGGAGTGCAGTATACATCAGTTGGCATCAGTTCAGGTCCTAGTCTGGGACAGAGGGGACTGGGACAGATGGGCACTCCAGGCTGTTATTCCACCCCCACTCCCAGAAAGCCAGGGCTGAGGTGAGAGTCCTGAGTCCTGAGCCCCAGGTCTCTGTCCTCTCTCTGCTCTAAACTGCCACTCCCTGGGTTCAGCAGCTAAGGTATTCAGGGACATTCTCCTTCTTCATCACTGACAATGACTGTTCGGTGACAATGATGGACACAGAGGCGCTGCTGAGAGCTTGGGGAAGTGGCAGCTGGTCACACTGTCTGCTCAAGACTCCGTTCCGCTCAGTGCCTGGCTTAGCTGTCGTGCTGATGTGTGTGTGTAGTTACTGGAAGAGGTTGGGTTGCCCCAAATCCCTAATTGATCTAAATTTCATTATTTATGTGGCAGAACTTGAGCTGCCTCTAATCACTTGGCTGAAGAATACTTAGTTTTCTAGTGTGGATGAGGATGTAGGAAGTATAATTTGGTTCATTGTTTTTGGAGGACATTCTTGGCACTAGGTATCAAAAGCCTTAAAATTATACATATGTTTTGATTCAAAGATTCCCATCTTAGTTTTTGAGTAAATATTTAACAAGAAGAATGCTTATTGGAGAATATATTATCGAAGACATTGTAAATAACCTCAGTCCACTGATGGGGGATTGGGAAAATTGTGGTACATCTGAACAACAGAGTACTATAGAGTCACTGAAAATGATGCTGAAGGCTAAGAACTCAGAAAGATATTTATAGGATAATTGGTCAATTTCAAAGCAGTAAGAGTGAGATCATTCTGGAGTCAGATGTCCTGGATTAGAATCCCAGCACCACCATTTAATTGCTGAATGACATTGAACAATGTATTTGATTTCTTTAAGCCTCAACTAATCCCTCTATAAAATGGGAATGATAATTGCATCATCACTCAGAGCCATCATGAACTTTAAATGAGATAATTTGTGTGAGGTGTTTAGCATAGCCTAGTGCACTTGCTCAATAAACATTGCTTTACGATGATCCTATATTTGCTTTTGAAAACATATATAAAAAAGGTAAGGAAGAAATAAAAGCAAACGAAATGGTTCTTTCTGGGTGATGGGATTGCAAGTGGATTCTTTTTTGTTTGTTTTTGTTTTTTCCGAGTGCTCTACAATACATATCAACTTGACTTTTATGAAAAGAAAAGAGTTACTAAGAATAAAGGAGGGAGAAGAAA